AATTTTGAAAAAAGATATTTTATAAACTTTAAACATTTCCATGTTTATCAAAGCAAAGACAAATCTAAACCAACTTCATTCTTTATCTGTGCAGCATTCTCGAAGACTTAAGGTTTAACTAAGTTTAACGTAGAATTATCGTCAGAGCAAATGTGAGTATATTTGCTATATGCACGCATCACAATGCATTTGCATGAGTTTTGATACGCAAGATGCCGCTGCACACATGTTGTGTTGAAAGACTTTCTCAAAATGCACACACAAATTAAAGATATTAAAATTTGTTAATGATGTGTTTTTGATGTTTTTATATTGTGTGGGTGTGGGTGTGGGTGTGGGTGTCTATATCTACATATATGTGTGTATATATGTATGTCTACACATGTGTGTGTATATCTATATCAACATATATGCATATATATCTATATCTACAAAAATGAGTATATATCTATATACATATATGTATACATCTATATATGTATATATCTATACATTTATGTATATATCAATATACATATGAACATATATGTATATATCTATATAAATATCTATATATGTATATATATGTATATGTATATGTGTGTGTGTGTGTGTGTGTCATTTAACTTAGATCTATCAAAATGACCACCAACTAATATAAATACGATTTAACTTAAATGCATCGAATAAGTTAACCTTTATTTAAGTATGTTAATAAATTCAAGGCTAGCTTCAAGAGAAAGGTTGAGTAAGAGATGGCAAAGCTATAGAATTAAAAGTTTAGAAGGTGCCCTTGCTGAGTTTGACGTCGCCGAAGAACTTGTTCATTTAGTGCTATCATTTCAAAAGACGAATACCAAGCTAAGAAATTGAAAGTTGTGAGTAGAGAATATCAAATCAACTTGAACGCAAAACATAGGAGACAAGTGAATCTCTTTGGATGTGGGAAGAGTCTTGATAATGTAAATAGCATGCTTTGGAGAACAATTCCTAAAATATCCTATAAATCTTTCACCATGCTGAACTTTTTAATTTTTCAATGTCAAGGATTTTCAGCATGACACCTGACTAAAAGAAAAAATCTTTGAATATTGAGGCCCAAACAAAATTTAAAATTGTGCAATTGAGGAATAATGCAAGACATAAGGCTCAAAATATTTTCAGGCATAAGAGAGTCAAATTAAAGGTAAAAATGAATATATTAGCTATGTAGAAATATTAGAGAAAGACATATTAATATCCTAACATAGTAAGAAGTGACGGACTATGTCAATATCAAATATCAAATTGCGTAAGCGCATAGTAACATTTAACAAATAGCACAAACTTCATAGTAACAGTGTAATGTAGACATTAAGTAATTAAACTAGCATAAGACATCAAGTGAAGAAAATATTTAACATTAAAGCAAGTAAGACATAAGACAATCTTAGTAAGCAAAGTTAAAATAAATTTGAAGAATTACAAATATTCAAAATAAATAATTTTTTTTGGATCCAAAGATTATTACCACATAGAAAATAAGAGTGGGGAAAGTAGATATAGGGCCATAATCAAGATAAGTAGAGCCAAGTATGTCATTGATTGGATTTGGCTTAATCATATTATAAGTTTTTCATGTTCTACTTGAGCTCGAGTTTAGCTTCACATATATGTTCATATTTAGCTTGTTTATTTTAATTGGAAGACGACTTGAGCAAGTTAATAAATAAGCTGAAAATGTTGAATGTATGCTTCACTTTTTATATAATGTTATCAACAAATATTTTTTATAAACTTAAATAAATAAAGAATCAAATAAATCATGAATTAGTATTCAAGTACTTTGCACAAATTAAATAAGAAAATATATAAGTTGCCAAAAAAATTTCTTGCAAGCATAAAATATAAATAAATACTAACAAACAAAAATATTAAAATAAAAAATATAAGAATAAATTATATTACATTCATATGCATGTTGAAATTAAATTGTAACATGTTACTATTAAATGTTTAATTATAAATTTCAGTTAATTGAATTTTATTTAAATAATATATCATATAACTACATATTATTTAACAAATTATTTGTTGAACAACAAATAAGTTTGTTCATGAACATAAATCAACAAGTTGAACCATATTTATGTTTGTTTCATTCAATTATCGAGTTTTTTTTTTTTAAATGTTCAAACTTATTTATTTAATAATTTGTGTCTGCTGAATCGAGTTTTAATTGAATCAAGTTTGAGTCGTTCATCGAGTCCATAGGTTCATTTACAACCCTAAGTAGGTATACTTGAGATAAAGAAACTTGGTTAAAATGGGGTGATGCGTCGAGGCGCACTAGTAAATGGTGGTGGCAATGACATCGACACTAGGGTGGTGGTGTAAGAAAGGAGATTAGGCATAGCCAGAGGCAACGGAGAAAAGCTACAGTGGTGGTGGAAGTACAAGATGTGGCAAAGCGATTGCAAGAGATGATGGCGATGATAGAAGCAGCAGGCGATGAGGGCAACAGCAGTGTTAGAGCTAGTTGGGTTTGCGTGAGAAGGAAGACCGAGCACTGCAGGGGAGATCATGCGATTTAAGATGAGGTGGCAAGAGCAACATATGATGGTGACAGTGATGAAAGCAACTGGCAATGTTAGGACGGTCAGCTAGGATATCATGAGAAGAGGGGAGATCGTACGTGTGCAAGCGAGTGCAGGTTTGAGCGAAACAGAATTGTTGTTTTAAGAAGGAAATTAAAAGAAAAAAAAATCTAAATAAATGAAGCAAACAGCTTGATAAATATGAGGTGAGGCGTGCAATAAATTTGAGACAAACGTCTTGTGTTGGTCATCTAAGAAGCGCATCACTATTCAAATTGTCATGCCTTCCAAACAGAGGACCTAAGAATAATTGGACAAATCCTTGAATTATAAAAGTATATTAATCAAAATCTATGAATTTTGGCAAGTAAAAATAAGAATTCCAAGCCACATTACTACGAGACACTTCCCTTAGAAGTATTTCCTACTCAAGGTTTGTTCCCTGTTATTTGGATAATTCATGTCAGGTTGGCTACATCTCCTCTCTCTTTTTAATCACTAGTATTCTTTCATTCTACGCATCCCACACACTTTTAATTTCCTTCATATTATAAGTTCTTGAACTATACCACAAAGATGTTGACAATCCTCCATGCCATGGTCATGGTTTTATTAAAAACATAATATTCTTCAAACACAGAATATGGAGCTATGAACATAACAAAGGTGGTCGACAAAAGTATTATTTCTCTTTAATCGTGTTCACCAACTCAATATAGAAAACCCTCAAAGGGACGTGATTGACATTCCTAGCAACTACAAACAATTTGTTTGTCAAAAGAAAATGTCCCAAAGAGTTCTCACGTTCACTCATCGCACATGCTAATAAAGTGGTGGTCAATCCTAGAGAACATAATGGTAGATTTTAATTTTGGTTGTATTGAAGCTACAACTATTTTTCTTGATTGGCATTGATGTAGTCAGGAGTTCCTGTATTCAAGGAATCGAGATGTTCATACCTCCGGTAGACTATAGACGTCTGCATTTATGTGATTATCTGTGAGTTCCAACATTTCCATAGATGCACTCTGCTACATAGCTCCAAGTGCGTGTCTAAACTATCCTTCTTTCAGTACTTGAGTTAGCATGCCAAAGGTGACTACAAGTTCTAAAAGGCATTTAGCATCTAATTTAAGTAACAAGTGATAATTTTTACAAAAAATCACTGGGTTCTTACATAATTACAAGTTATTCAACAGTGATGAAGTGTCTCTTGAACACAACAAAAGATGTTAGTTCCCCAACCAAGGTGTGAGAATCATCTAAGAGATGGCTCCTTGAAGACCATGAAGAACAAGCTACAAATTAAAACATGATTGATATTCAGCAAGCAGGTGGTTGACTCAAAGTAAGTTACAAGGTTATCCTCCCTTTGTGGGAACCATGGTTAGAGATCTTGAACTTTATTGAGGGTTTGCCACCATATTTCCCTTAAGAAGCATTAGTCAGCAAAGATTTTCTTTTTAAATTAATGAGGGGGGAATAGATTTTTCATTACCATCTAAATAATATGTTTCATCCAGCACGAACTTGAACTAAATACATAGGCGCTACCTAGTTCCCTCAAAATATTGAATTTGAGGACCCCTCAAGCATCTCTATCCTTCAGAAGATTTTAGAAAAGGATCCAAATTTCCCTAGACCAACGCCATGATCTTTCTTTATATCTCTTTGAATTGTCTATTTTTTATAAAGTTTTGGTTTTCCATTATTCCTAAGGCTTCTTGATCATGTTATTCTACTTGACGCAATGTATCTGGATTCTGATTCTTGGCATTAATTCACACTCACTGCACTTTAGAGAATGTTGGATCTAAAAATGTCTACGGGCAATAATAGAATCTCACATACAAAGCTTATAAAATTGGAAAGAGCAGCTATAGAGAGAAGTTTTGTGATATTACTAAATGGCCAAAGGTATAGACTTGAGTGTCCAAAATTTTTTGTCACAATCTCCACTTCCTATTTATAAGTTCAGTCTAAGGTTTTTAACACTATATATAAGTCTAATAAAAACATAAGAAAGCGCATTAAGATTCTTAACATGGGTAGCCCACAATATAAGTATGTTTGGATGTATGAATGTATGTATGATTTGACAACATTGTCGAATTTATTGAACGAAGTTGCCAACTTGCTGCACGAAGTCACTAACTAATATGGAGAATTCACCGTCTAGCTAAGTATGGAGCGAGTAAGTAGCTTTTGAGTTTGGGCGAGTTGCCTTGGTTGAAGTTGCAGTTCAAACTGAGTATACTATTACAACAAAACTTCATTCTAAACGTCACTTTAAAAAAGAACAAAAACCAACGTAATTGTTATGCAAATTTTACAGAAGTTTCCCTTTCTCCACCAAGAGGTTCAAGTCCACGGACTTCTATTCCAAATTCTACTTTAATTCCACAAATAAATTAGAAACAAAGGGAAATAACTCTGGCATTTTACCTTGCCTGAAGCCGAGCCTTCCTTTGATGAAGAAGAGGAGGACGAGAAAGGGCGAGCTCGTTTCGATCCCGGGAGTGGACCTTTGATGGGAAAATATCGATTCTTCTCCGGATCGAAATAGAACCCAGGGAGATCTAATAGGTGATCCCGGTTTAGAATCGATAATATATTGAAACAAAAATTCGAAGATTAGATAGCAGAATCACCTCTTTGCGGCGCCATTTTTGTTTTACCCTGTGGCGAAGGAGAAGCGCGAGAATCCCTAGCTTGTAGTTTGTAGAGAAGTCATAACTAAAGGAAGCGCTAACCCGAACCCCCGGCGGCGCGCATGGGAAGAATCAGAGAAAAGCTATGTTGTGTAATCCAACGACAAAAATATACCCAAAATATTCTAATATAGTTTTTAATCACTATACTTCTTTGTAGGAAGATTTACATGCATACCACTCAATTTCTATGTATTTACATGTTGAAACCCTAAACTTCAATTTTCATCTGCATACCACCTTGCAAATGCATGAAAAGGTGTATTTCATTTTTTTTAATAAGTAAAATGTGATATTTTTTATGTTATATGTAAACTTTGGGTGCTATAAATGTAGGAAGTAAAAAACTAGGTGTTAGATATGTAATACATAGGAATTAGGTTGTATGTATGTACATGCACCTTTTATAAATTACTAAATTGATTTTTAAGATAAATATAATAGTGATATGTGTCATCATGAAATTTCATAATTTGGTGCAAATCTTAGGGCATATTTTTAGAAAAATATATTGAGATTCAAATCAAAAAATTATCTAAGAGCTCTCATTTCAGCAAACTTATAGTGAAATGGATTGTCTCCACAAGTTGAACCCAGTGAAACCAAAATTGGCACAATCTGGGCCCAATCAAGCCTAGATCAAACAATTAAACCACATTTGGAGGCTTTGAGAAATTAATTGGAGAGTCAAATGAACTCCAAATTTAATATTTTTTTAAAAAAATTAAAAATAGCATCTCGACCAGAGAAAACTAACAAGCCCTTGATCACTCAATTTTGTTGTTGTTAAGATCCTCAAATCATAAAAAAAACCTTATGATCAAAAGGAATCAATGTAGCCATTTGATCAAGTAGCTATGGGTAGGGTTGTGAAATTGGCTCGAAGATCGTAAATTGCTCAAAAATTGAATCAAAATTTAACTCAAATCAAAATCGGCTCGAAATATTGGAGTCGAGCTACAAGCCAAATAAAAAGATCTAAACTATTTTGATCTGATTTTAATCCGACCTCAGCTCGAATCGAGGTCGGTCTACTTTCGCGAATGTCGTAACCCATTACCCATCATATGTTCCTATACTTTTATTCGCTTCCCCAGCACCGCTCGAAGTCCTAACTTTCTCTCATTTTCTACCTCTCTCACTCTATCTTTGCCTCTTCCCCTAATCCCCTCTCGTATGAGCCTCTCTTCCTCTCTCTCGCTCTCTACGACTTTGTTGACTGCCTCTCCCCACTTGTATCTCGATCTCTATCTCTCCAGTGGGGTGTGTGGGTTCTAGCATTCAATGCGTCGACAATGTTATCGTGCGGTTTTTTGTGTGCGGTATGCAATTTCTGGCTTAGTAACCCTATCTCATAATATTCTTCTCTCTTTCCTCATAATGATTCACAGTGTTAAATAGTTTTTTCTGTGAGAAAGTAATCAACTTTTTTTTTGACAAAGTGATCAATAGTTTGAAAACGACACTATGGTTTTCTATCAACATTTTGTAGGTCTTAATCACAAGTTTTTTTATAAGTAATTTTTTTTTGTTTCCATTCACTTGTGAACGCAATTTCCGAGCCCTGCTCCAGTCTTATCATTTTTGTAGTTTATCTATTGGGGAATCACCAACTTGTCTATCGTCATGTAATCTCTTCTCTGAGTAAACTCTCTTTTGGATCATATGATCTGGATGAGAGAGGAATAAGAAAGCAAGCGTATATGATGATGAACACAAACAAGAAAAAGGGCATGGGGGACTTTTGTGAAGTGAACTTCGCATAGATGACTTCCGCAGCATATGTCCGAAAGGAGATCAGATTGAAATGCCTTGGAAGCATGTCCACGAAGAGGATCTTATGAAAATAACCCACAACCAGAGACTCGTATTTTTGTGTCTGCTATGGATCTTCTTCTTTCTATAAGTGCAAGTCTCTATAGTTAAGTACATCTTAAATATCTGAATCCACTTAAGAAAACACTCGATTAAGGTTGTGTTTTCATCCTCGGGAAATTGAGCTTATCATGCTCACGGAAGTTATTTTATTATGACTTATTTTGCATGGCATACAATCATTTAAGGGCCAAAAAGTGAGGATTTATGTCGTAGCTAGACAAACAACCTCGTGATGAAGTTCGCGCAGAGAGGTGAAACTTCATAACCCTATCCTATATGGACTTATATCCTATCTGGAAATAGTTACCATCTAAATCCTCACAGAGTCATTGGGTTTGCAAGATAGGTCGGGTTATTTGTCAGGAGTTATATGCCTTATTACTTGATTTTCAATCATGCTACCTATATGGGTATGGTATGCATAATGTCCTAAGACTAGTGTAAAGATATTTTTGAAATTTCAAATTTAAATTTTCCTATACATCACTACACTCCAATTTTTAAATTCAATTGGTGTTCAATGCATCGAAGCAAGCTATGCAATGGTTGTGTAAGTCCTTGATGAAGAATGCATAGAAAGCCTGTTCAAAAAGGCTATTCAATATGCATTAGTAGAACTCACTCTATACGATAGTGGTTCTCACACTTCAAACCACCCCTTTTCGTGCAATGAGTGAGGCCCTGAAGATAAGGAATAGGAACAACAAGTTATGCATATGTCTACAGATTGTTGTCAGCCAACCTTAATGAGTGGCAGGGGTAAAGTTGTGTTTGGTGGCCTTTATTCATTAAGGTTTCATTCAAGTTTTAATGTCTTATTTTGGATTTTAGGGGGTTAAAATTTTTAGGTTTCTTATGCCTTTTTAGTCGAATAAGATTTGTTTGTGATTTTTATTTTAATCTTGATTTTAAAATGTCTGATCAAGATCTCATGGTTCCGTCCTCCCAGTACCATTGGGTTTGCAGTTAAACTAGTCACAAGTGATGGGAAGGTATTTCGCTAGCAACCATGGCTGCCTCCTCTTAAATTTCATCTCAAACCAGGTTGCATTTTATGATTGAAGTTTTTGTTTCAGTAACCTTTAGAGTGAATTTTATGTCGTGTCTATTATGAATATTTTGCATTTTAGCTCATATTGTCTCCGAGATGTGTTAAGTGTGCTTTTATTCTCTTATGAGAAGTCAAACACTCCTTAACTTAGGTCACTTGAGTTTAAATTGGGCTAAGTTTGGTTGACCCAAAATTGATTTGAGTCAATTTGGGTTATCCCGAGTTAAGTCAGGTTGACCATTAGTGGGTTTGGGTTAACACAAATTAGGTGGGCTTGGCTCGAGTTTTATTTAAGTTGATTTGGGCTAACCCGAGTTAGGTCGGGTTGACCCGAGATCATTTCAGGATGATTTGGGTTAACCAAAGTTTGTTTGGGTTAACCCAAGATTAGTTTAATTGATTTAAGTTAACCCAAGTTAGGTCGGGTTAACCCAAGATTAGTTTAAGTCGATTTGGGTTAACCTAAGTTAGGTTAGGTTGACCCAAGATTGGTTAAATTGGTTTGGGTTAACCCAAGATAGGTCTGGTTGACCCAATTTTAGTTTAAGTTGATTTGGGTCAACCCAAGTTAGGTTAGGCTAGCTAGAGTTCATTTCAAATTAATTTGGGTTAACCCGAGTTCAGTCGAGTTGACCAAGGTTTAGTTAAAGTTGATTTGGGTTAACATAAGTTAGGTGGCATGCCTTAAAATGTGCCCCTTTTTTATATACATTTTATTCTTATTTTTAATGATATTGCACTATACTGAAAGGTATTTTGCGTGTTTTTGGTTTCAAGTACAAGAGATGAAGTTTTGGAGAAAAAGGAGCAAAAATAAAGCAAAATGGAGTCAAAAGGAGTAAAGAAGCACAAAGTGAACTGCCACCTAGGTTCCAACTTCTATAGCCAAAGCAATATACAATGTACATGAAAGCAGAGAGCCCGACGCCATGGTTTAGTCAACATGAAAGTCATATGGCTAGATCCTCGACTTCTAAGAAAGAAAGACTAGACCTTAACAAAAGTGAGGTCAACAGTAATGCACGCCTTTTGTCTTCAACAGTCCCTACATAATGGAGCTAGCATAATTTCTTTTTAAATTTGATTGATTGGTTGTTATATTTATTTAGGACAAATTAGTCAAGATGCCCATGACTTCCCATCATCTCGGGGTTGTCGGGTTCTTTGATCTACTTAGTTAGAGGAGGTGGTCAAACCTACCCCGACTGAAAGATTCCTATCAATAACGATGAGTTGTGTCATCAAAGAAATCTTCATAGACTCAACTTCATAGACTCGGGAAGCATGGTTAAAGGTCTGTTCAACGATCTTTGTTCGTTAAAGTTTCATCAAAGTTTTAATGTCTTTTTTTCAGATTTTAGGGGTTGAAAATTTTAGGTTACTTAAGACTTATTAGCCGATTACTTTTTTTTTTGTTTTGTACTTTATTTTAGATAGTTGGAATGATTTGTTCAAGGTCCCATGGTTTTATCATCTAGGGATCATTTAGGTTTGTTGTTTGACTAGTCACAAGTGACTGAAAGATTTTTTATTAGTAGTCCTGGGTTGCCTCCTCCAAAATACCTTCTTAAACTAGATTTCATTTTATGGTTAAAGTTTAAGTTTTAGTGGCTTTTAGGATGGATTTTATGTCGTGTCTTTTATGTTTGTTTGATCCTTGGCCGAAATTGTCCCTGACCGAGGCTAGGTGTGCTTTTTTTTTCTCAAATGAGAAGTCAAACGCTCCTCAACGACAAGTCACCTAGGTCTGAGCTGCGTTCAGATTAGCTTGAGTTAGGTCAGATTGATCCAAAGTGAATTCCTGGTCGATTTGAGTTAGCTCAGGTTTACCTTAGGTTAGCTTTGAATTGGTTTCCGATAATCAAAGTTTAACTGGATTGACCCAAATTAGCTCAATTTGACAGGAGATACACTGAGCCTAACTAATTTGGACTAACTCAGGATTTGACAGCCTTCATCAAAAACAAGGTCAACAAAGGTTTAAAGAGAAGTTCCTTGCAGAATTCTAGAAAATAAAGGTGTTGATATAACTTATAATCAAATTATTAAAGATATGTATGCTAGAGTTGTTATTACATGTGCTTGAACGAAAGGAGGATTAATGGAGTATTGTCCTCTTTTAGTTGGATCATATATGGAATCAACTTTAAGCCCAAAGCATTTTGCTTTAGTTATGGATGCTTATACTAGATATTTACAAAAGGTTGTGCCTTGGTGTATGCTTTTTGCTGATGATATCCTTCTTGTTGACAAGGCTAGAGAGAGAATTCAAGAAAAAACTTGAATTATGGAGGTCTGCATTGAAGTTTAAAGGCCTTAACTGGATACATGGAATGTAATTTTAGCTGTAGTAGCTCTAGTGGGACAGTTGTAACTATGGGTGATCAAATCAGTAAAAGGTGCAAACATTTTAGATATATCGAGTTTATTGTTCAAAGGGATGGTGATATAGATATAGATGTTATTACTAAAATTCAAATTAGTTGGTTGAAGTGGAGGAATGCAACGGGCCTATCATGTGAGAGAAAAGTACCTCTTAGATTTGAGGAAAATTTTATAAGATAGTGGAGAGACCTGTAATTCTATATGGTGCGGAATGTTGGCCTTTACTTAGATATAAGAAATGAATGTATCCATGAAAGGGTTGGTATAGGTATAGTGGCAGACAAGATTAGAGAGAGTCGTCTTAGATGGTTTACTCACATTAAAGTCGATCATCAAATGATCCGATTAAGAGAGTAGATGTTCTGGATTCGAATTATGTCAAGAAAGGCAGAGGTAGAGTTAAAAAGTCTTGGGCATATTGTGTAAGAAATGATCTTAACCTATTAGAGTTGAATGAAAATATGACACTCAATAAGATGCAAGGGACAAAAAGTATTCTTGTAGTCGACCCCATTTAGTGGGATAAAGGCTTGTTATTGTTGGTGTGGCAACAATCAAAGGCACAAGAACATTTAAAAAACAAATAAATAAAATTTTTGAGAATTCATCTTAGAAAAGAATCCATAATTGGAGAAATTAGAGTTCTAAATAAGGTTACCAACACTTTTGGGTGATTTTTTTTTGTTGATATTTCACTAAATATAACCGTATACTCAAATCTGTTAGTTATACATAAGTTAGTGCTTACAAACCTCTGGTGGTATGAATTATTCCTTTTTCTATACAATTTGCATAATTATTATCTAAATAGCAAATTAATCTAAAAATCTAAATATTTATTTTGGCGTACTAATTTCAAAATATATGAAAGCATCTTTTTAAGTATTTTGACAATTTCAAAAAATAAGCCATTTCATTTTCAAAAATAAAGTCTACAAATGTCGAAAATAGCAATTTTTTGATATATTTAAATATCTAATTAGGAAAAAAAGAGATTTGAAAGTGTATCCCCATACAATCTAAAATTTTATCTGATTTTATCCTCTCTTATTTCTACAATTCAAAGAAAGCCGACCTGCATTATAAACCATCGAGGTAAATAGGCCAAATGGAGGAAAAGAGAAGATGAAACTATGAGCTTTGAGATAATTTGGCAAAATTTTTCACGGCAATTTATTTATGTTTATTTATGTTGCAACAAGTTTCATGTAATCCATTTCCTTCTTGTTAATTCATTATTACTAGACGAAGAAAGAAATAGTTGATGTCGATTTACTAACTCTTAACCCGATTTCCATTAAAAAAATATTTGAACAGGCTTCCGAAAATGAGTTCCTAACACTCCAACAATTTTCATCAGAACAGACTCCTAGAGCAATGTTTTGAATAGCTATGTTCTTACCACATTTGTTAACAAATTATGCACCAAAAGAACTCGCTATACAAACAAAAAACAAAAAAATATGAAATTAAAATATTTATGAAATTAACAAGATAAGAGAAAAATGTTTCTTAATTAGGAAGAAAACGAAGACTAAGCGAAGACCGTTTCATCATATCAATATATAATGCAAAAAACCCATATGACATACATTTGCAACTTCCACCACCTATATAAATACATCCATAAATGGAAAATCAAAATATCTCCCTCTCCCTTTTCTCCGGTGAAGAACTCAAAAAAGGGAGTCGGGGCCGCCAAAATCTCCGGCTACCAATGAGAATTTTGGCCATCAACCCCAAGAGGGGTCTCCCAATGTGGCCAAGCATGGTTTTGCCTCTAGCTTTCTTCCTCTCCATAAATAACTTAGCCTTTGCCTCTAATGAACCACAACAAAATTATTCTCCTTCCCCCCCAATAACACATAATTACAACTCTCCCCCTCCATCTTCACCCTATGACTATCAATCTTCACCCTATAACTCATCTCCTCCGCCTGTAGTTTCGTCACCACCGAGTTATTATAACTCCCCTCCCCAACATCATCACCATGAGCTCTTGGTTAAGGTGGTTGGCAGTGTTTATTGCTTCAATTGCTACGATTGGAAACAGCCTTTGGATTCTCACATCAAAAAACCTTTGGAAGGTGAGCAAACTTGGATATCTATTTGGGTGTAAGAAAAGAGATATTAAGCCATGATTATTCCAAGGATAAGAATATCTATCTGCTAAAACTGACTAAATAAGTTTGAATTTACGCATGATTTTGGTGTTCTATATAGGTTTTTTTTTATTTTATCAATCATTTATCTACATTAGGAAATACAAGTTGCTTCCTCGTCGAATTTTCTTTAAAATTTCAACCTTTTTTTTATATATAATTTTAGATATCAAAGGCGATACCAATTATTTGGTAAAAATAATTTTGCTCAAAATATCATAATCAAATTATTGAATTGATTTATAAATGAATGGATTACTTAATTTAATTGATGTTTTCTTGAATGTGTAAGTATATTAGATGGAAATAAATTAAGGAGTTCTAAGGTGGAAGGTTCAATAGCTTACCTATACCCTTCAATTCCTATGAATCTACATATATAACACCTAAAGTTTGACTTTTACATTAATACCATCCAAATCTTTCATATTACATAGTAAGTTTCATATTTTTACTTTTAAAAATTGAAATACACCTTTTCATGAATAGGTAGGATGGTGTATATATGTAAAATTTAAAGTTTAGGTGTTTGATATGTAATTACATAGGAATTGAGTGAAAATAAGTAAGTTGACTTTTAATTACTTTAATGTTCAAAATCAAATCTAATATTTTTTGTATCTTTTTATGTGGCATATTATATAAATGGGGAATTTAACATAATAAGTGATGAAATTAACATCACATGTTTTCATAATAAAAAAAAATGTTAAAAATATATTAATTTGAGCAATTAAAGAAAATATCTTATAAGAGTTTTTCTTTTCTTCATCGACATTTTCTAAATGACTAACATGTAATATTTCAAACTTTTGTGAGTAGATGCCATAGTCAAAGTGACTTGTGATGCTGGAGACAAAACTTATGTCTCCTATGGGAAGACAAAACACTTCGGAAAATACAGTGTTAATGTGAAGGGATTCCCTTTCTGGAAGCATAGAGCAAGGGCTTGCAGGGTTGAGCTACATGCAGCACCAAAGGGCTCAAAGTGCAAGATTCCCACTAACCTCAATAAGGGAGCCCCACTCAAAGTCATAGTCAAATCACATGAGCTCGTTGTGCTTAAGGCAGAAACTCTTGCATTTGCTCCTAAGATTCCTTATGAAGATTGTGAGAAGCCCAAACCTTCTCCATACAATTCTAATTCTCCCCCACCTCCAACTCTGGCCAATTATTATCAGTCTCCTCCTTCGTCATCTCCTACATACTATAGCATCCCTCCAGCTTCATCACCATCTCTGTCAACTTCTTCTTATGAAAAATCTTCACCACCACCATCTTTATCTCCATCACCCCCTTACTACTATGATTCTCCACCCCAACCCTCACCATCAGCTCCTCCATACTATTATGGCTCGTCACTAGCTCCATCACCAACTTTTCCCCCTACTTACTATTATAAATCTCCATCCCAACCATCTTATTCTTCATCATCTCCTTATTATTACAATTCTCCACAACCACCCCCACTATCTTCAACACCCCCTTACTAGTACAACTCCCCACCTCCATCATCGCCTTCTGTAGCTAATCAAACTCTTCGACCCATCGTTTTTATCTCCCCACAACCATATTATTATAATTCTCTGCCACCAACACAAGCTCCACCTCCTTCAAATTAGGATAACTCTTCTCCAACCCCACCGCCGACACTAGCACCACCAACCAACCACTACAAACCTCATTTACCACCATTAACATCTCCTCCTAAACAACATTAAATTCCCACCGCCGCCCTCATCATATATTCTTACTTTTTATAGCCACAAATCTCCTTTGCCATCTTTAATCTTTTTATAATTTCTCTCATTCTCTATCACAATCTTATCAAGGGCTGTCTAAATAATATGATAAGCCTTATCTAGCTGCAATATCAATAGCTATTTTGATGTATTTGTTGTTGTGAGAAATAATGGATGCATGAAGTTGAGAGATAATAATACCTATTGTTAGGATGAAGGGTTATTTTATTTTGACTTAATTTTAAAGCCTATTTATTTCTTATATTTTATGTTTATCTCTATTAGTTGGTACGTGTCTCTAGTAATTGTTCTTCACTTTTTTAATTAAATGTAAGATAAGCTTAAAAAATACTAATTAACATTATAAGATGATATATTTAGCTAACAATTTATTGCAATAAAACAAAATGAGCATTAAACTTGATGAAGTTAATTCCGAACATTGAATTTTTATAATGGATATTTGATAGCATTTAAAAAGAAAAATATTTTTAGAGAATAAAATTCTGATTTCACTCTTTCTACTTTTTTATGAATTGTATTTACTTTCTGAGTTAAGCATGTGATATGTCCAAAATAAACACCAGCACAATGAGATGATTTAGTTAACCATTTATAGAAACATATCAAAATGAGAATAAAACTTGATAAAATTAATTCATGATGATGAATTTTTGTAAGGGATAATTTGATAGCTCTCTAAAGTGAAATATATTTAAAAGTAGTGAAATTTTGATTTCAATCTCTTTTTGTACAAAATAAAAAAGTATTTATTATATTTTCAAATCTTCTAATGCTTAAGATTCTCATTATTTTCCATCATAATTTCACGGAAAATGAGTGGTATGTATGAATCTTCCTACTATTTTTACTACCTCTATTGACTAACAATCATTATAATAAATTCTCCCAAGTAAACCATATTTGCCACATAAGTATGAGATTTAAATTCAAATTCAAATTCAAAAGATTAAATATACTTACTAAGTGCTTGGATCATTTTTTGAGTTTCTCAAACCCACATAAATCTTAATCAATATATAGTTCCATGTCTATGAACTAACGCTCTGCTGCAACAACTTATTTACTAAATTCTCATCAGTTTTTTATCGACTAGGCGCCCAAAGATCAAACATTTTTAGATTTTTTTAATTTTTTTATTTAAGATTATCCTTTGTTTCATTGAAGCTTCTTTTTTTTTAACATCTGACCAAGTTTTATAGCAAATACACTCATATCATATAAGTAAAGCCTTAAACATATGACATTTTAGTTGAAAGTTTAATCCCTCAACGAACAAATTAAGATAACTTGCATAATTTACTTTTATGTTCCACTAGTTTTCAATTTTCTAACATCTAATATTTATAAAAAATTTAAGGCTTCTTATGTTTGACTCTGATGGAATTCAATCTTCCCTAAAAAGCATATGATAACAAATTAAATTTAAATGGTTTATGAAATATTTTAAGTAATATGTTTACTAATCTTAGGATAGAATCTTGGAATATAGGTACTCTCATAAGTAAATTAATGGAATTCATAGATAATATGGTTTATTGGAAGATAAACATCTTTTGTATATAAGAAACTCAATGGGTTGGAGAAAAAAATTAAGGAGATTGATAGCTTAGGTTTTAAACTTTGTTATTCAGGTAGGAGTTGTTGACCTCACTTTTGGGAGGGTCTACCCACTCACCTACACATAGCCTCAGACTAGATTTATGCTCTTTTGGGCCTCATCAAGACATGCTCAAACCTTCAAACCTTTGGTTAAACTGGTTTAGGGTTTTGGCAACCCGCCCCTTCGCCCACATGTGTAAGACATGCTCTAGGTCACTTAGGAAACCCAAAACCCTAGAAACCTCCCTATGAACGCCAATGACCACCATGACACCTAAATTCACAATGGAAACAGTTCTACCCAAATTGATCCCTAGCCTCATCTAAGGCCTCTCCACACTCTACTAGCTCTAACTCAGCTTAGACCTAGTATAACCTAAGCCATCCTAAGTCTAACCCACCTTACACCTAGTCCAACCGAAACCATCCTTGACCTAACCAAATTAGACCAAGTTCAACCTAAACCATCATAAGTCTAACCCAACTTAGACTTAGTCCAACCTAAAACGTACTAGACTTAGTCCAACGTAAACACTACTTAATCTAACCTAACTTAAATAGTTTTAACTTAAATCCTACAAGATCTAACCTAAATTGGATCTAATTCAAACTAAACCACCATAGATCTTACTTAACTTAGTTCAACATTAACCTTTTTAGGTCTAACTCAAATTAGACCTAAATACAATTTAAATCCATCCTAAGTCTAATCTACCTAGACCTAGTGAACACTAAATCCTACTAGATCTAACCTAATTTGGATATAGTTCAAACTAAACAACCCTAGGTCTAACTTAACTTAGACCTAGCCTATTTAAACCACTCCAGGTCTAATCCAACTTAGACCTAACACAATTTAAATATCCTTTTAGCTTAAAACAACTTAGACCAAATCAACTGAATCACCGGGTCAACCCGACCTAACTTGGGTTAAGTCAATTCAACTGAATCACTGGTCAACCTGACCTAATGGTGTTTAATCCAAATCAACTGATTCATTGGGTCAACCCAACCTAACTCGGGTTAACTCAAATCAAATGATTCACCGGGTCAACCCAACCTAAACCAGGTTCACCCAAATCAACTAATTCACCGAGCCAACCTAACCAAACTTAGGTTGACTTAGCCTAACTTGGGTTAACCTAAATCAATCGATTCACTAGGTTAACCTGACCTAACTCAAGTTAACCCAATTCAACTGATTCATCAAATTAACCTGACCTAACTTGGGTTAACCCAAATCAACCAATTCACCGGATTAACCCGATATAACTTAACTTAGACCTACTTCAACATTAACTTCTTTAGGTCTAACTCAAATTAGACCTAAATACAACTTAAATCCATCCTAAGTTTAATCCCTCTAGACCTAGTGCACACTAAATCCTACTAGATCTAACCTAACTTGGATCAAGTTTAAACTAAGCAACCTTAGGACTAACTTAACTTAAAACTAGCCCATTTAAACTACTCCAGGTCTAATCCAACTTAGACCTAACATAAATTAAATAACCTTTTGGTCTAAACCAACTTATACCAAATCAACTGAATCACTAGGTCAACACGACCTAACTTGGGTTAACCCAAATCAACTGATTCATTGGGTCAACCCAACCTAACTCGGGTTAACTGAATTTAAATGATTTACCGGGTCAATCTGACCTAACCCAAGTTCACCCAAATCAACTAATTCACCAAGTCAACCTAACTGAACTTGGGTTGACCCGGCCTAACTCGAGTCAACCTAAATCAATCGATTCACAAGGTTAACGCGACCTAACTTGGGTTAACCCAATTCAACTGACTCATCGGGTTAACTCGACCTAACCCTGGTTAACCCAAATCAACTGATTCACCGGATCAACTCGATATAGCTTAATTTGGACCTAGTTCAACAATAACCCCTTTAGGTCTAACTCAATTTAGACCTAAATACAACTTAAATCCATCCTAATTCTTCTCCACCTAGACCTAGTGCGTACTAAATCCTAGTATATATAACCTAACTTGGATCTAGTTCAAACTAAACAACCTAAGGTCTAACTTAACTTAGACCTAGCCCATTTTAACCACTCCAGGTCTAATCCAACCTAGACGTAACACAATTTAAATCAACTTTTGGTCTAAACCAACTTAAACCAAATCAACTGAATCGCTGGATTAGCCCCACCTAACTTGGGTTAACCCAATTCAGCTGAATCGCTAGGTCAACCAGACCTAACTCGGTTATCCCAAATCAACTGATTCATTGGGTCAACCCAAACTAACTCGGGTTAAACTAATTCAAAGGATTCACCACTTCAACCCGAACTAACCGAGGTTCACCCAAATCAACTACTTCACCGAGTCAACCTGACCAAAGTTGGGTTGACCCGACCTAACTCGGGTTAACCTAAATTAACCAATTCACTGGGTTAACTCGACCTAACTCAGGTCAACCCAATTCAACTGATTTATCGAGTTAAGCTAACCTAACTCATGTTAACCAAAATCAACTGATTCACTGGATCAACCCGATCTAACTCAAGTTAACACAAATCAACTGATTCACAAGGTCAACATGACTTAACTTGAGTTAATCCAATTCAACTAATTCAACAAGTCAACTTAACCTAACTGAGGTTAAACTAATTCAACTGATTCACTGGATCAACCCAACCTAACTCGGGTTAACCCAACTCAATTGAATCAGCAGGTGAACGCAAACTAACTTGAGTTAACCAAAATCAACTAAATTAATGGGTCAACTCGACCTAACTTGGGTCTGAGGTAGTACTTCGTCAGACATACCAAGATCAATAACTTCGCCAGACAACTTGGGATAGATTGGAGGTATTCTACAATCTACTACCCCAAAGCGAACTGCCTAGCCGAACCTTTTAACAAGACACTTGTGTAGATTTTAAAGAGAACACTCGACAATAATAAAAGATGTTGGCACGAGAAGCTGTTAGAAGTTTTGTGGGCCTACAAAATAATGTTCAGAACTCCTACTTAGTCTACACCATATGCGATCGTGTACGGGTCTGAGGTAGTACTTCCATTGGAGGTTTAGCTACCTTCTCTTAGAGTCACCGTCGCCAACCAAATTGTAACAGAAGATAATGCCAAGCTTAAACTTATAGAAT